AAAAAAAGAAAATGTGTACTTTTTTTTATTTTTCACCAAATGCATGTTAATGTTTTTTGGAAATGAAATCTGAAAAGACATGCAACGGAGATAACATTATAAAGCTTGGGTCTTTGAAATATTATTTCATGCTAGTTTGATTAATGTCGTGTTTGCTTCTAACAAAGGCAGAAGGCGTGAACCATATACACCTGACGATAGATGTTCTGGAAACAGAATGTCATGTGATCAGCAGGAAAAACTGGAAATCCTGTGCTGTTAAGGAGATTGGCAGTCTACCGGTATGTGCTTTACTCTGTAGATAAGGTCATCAGGACTTCATAGACTTCTTATAGTCAAATATTTGTATGCACTATAACATACTTCTGTTTGACTAAAGAGTTCACTGTTATCTAAACTATATTAGGTGTTCGGGACGTGTGATGCATCGGTTTCCCTTCAGAGCTCCATCAAAGTTGAGAATTACAACTGCACCATTCAACAAGGTGTGCTGAGACTGCATTAACTTATCTTAATTTAATGGAATGTTCTGTCCATTACCACATTAGTCAAGTCAAGTCAAGTCACCTTTATTTATATAGCGCTTTTAACAATACAGATTGTGTCAAAGCAACTGTACACCATTAATTAGGAAAATAGTGTGTCAATAATGCAAAATGACAATAGTAAACACTAATTTTTCAGTTAAAGGCAGTTCATCATTGAATTCAGTGATGTCATCATCAGTTCAGTTTAAATAGTATCTTTGCAATCAAGTCAACGATATCGCTGGAAATGAAGTGTCCCCAACTAAGCAAGCCAGAGGCGACAGCGGCAAGGAACCAAAACTCCATCGGTGACAAAATGGAGAAAAAACCTTGGGAGAAACAAGGCACAGTCGGGGGGCCAGTTCTCCTCTTGCCAGATGAAACCAGCAGTTCAATTCCAGGCTGCAGCAAAGTCACATTGTGCAGAAGACTCATCTGGTTCCTGTGGTCTTGTCCCGGTGGCAGTCTAGGAGACAAGGTCTTCATTGGGGATCTGTCTCTGGGGCTCATCTAGTTGTCCTGATCTCCGCTGACATTCAGGGCTGTAGAGGTCATCTCTAGGTGCTGATCCACTAAGAAGGAATATAATTGTGAGGATACTATCTTTTCAAATTACACATTGTGTACACATTAGTGCCAATAGTTCAATAACATCTTTTTTTTTAATTTTCTTAAGTCTATGTGGCACGGCATTCTGGAGAGTTGCAGAAATGTGCTGCTCATGTTTTTAATCAAAAGTGATTTAAATCACTTCTTCCAACAACAAAAAATTTGTCATTTGCTTTTAAAAAGTTACCTAAAATGTCCTTGTAGCAGTAAAGATAGTACATGTTACCACATATATATTTTGCAGGCATTTATTTGAAAGTTACTACATGCAAGAAACCTTTTAATCCCCAGAATATTCTAGAAACTGAAAAGAGATAATCTAACAGAGTAAAGCATGTTATACATGTTATTTTGGTAACTAATTCACACTGAAAGTAACTTGGATTATAGATTCCTGACTTTATTCAGTATAATGCTTTCATCTTTGTCCATAGGTATAATACTTTGTAAAATGCTGACTTTGCCTCACTGTTTCACAGTGGCAGCTCGAGCTATAGTAAACACTTGCCCCGACTGTCCAACTGCAGAACGCTTAGATGATCCAGTAATATCTGAGACCACAAGGCTGGCCCTGCAGAAATTTAACAAGGAGAGCGCTTCCCCACATTTCTTTGCTCTTCTGAATATAACAGCAGCCAGCATGCAGGTATGTCAACGCCAGTTAATCAATCGATCCTGTCCTGCATACATGACTGAAGATGTGTGTTGTGTGTTGCAGTGGGTTGTGGGTCCGTCTTATTTTGTGGCGTTCACCATTCAAGAGACTGACTGCAAGAAAAGCACTGCTGATATTGACCTCACGCAATGCAAGCTGAAGGACTCGGAGTCAGCTGTAAGAACTCATTCAGATCAAAATGAAATAAAGAACACTCTTTCAACTTGCTTTATATTGCCTTTGCCACTCAGATGTCTGTAAGTGGAGTAACCTTTCTTTCTGTTGGCTAAAGCACAAGGGCTTTTGCACTGGTTCACACATCAATGCTGATGACGGGCTGGAGATGAAGGTTCCTGTTGAGGTCAAATGTGAAATCTTTCAACCAATGGTGAGTGGTTTGCATTGCTCAGGAGTGACTAAAAGTAGCAATATTAATCATTTTAACTATGTTATACAGTGGTGTAAAAGTAGTTCAGATTGTTTTCAGTAACAAGGAAATGTATCCAAACTAGTAGCAGCGTGTCCATGTAGCTTGACAAAGGTCCACCTGACATATTTACTTTAGAAGCATGAAGTTTGGTGGGACATATCTATGAGAAACCTAACTGTAAATTGCATACACTACCATTCAAAAGTTTGTGGTCAGTAGAATTTATTTATTTGAAAGAAGTCTCTTCTGCTCACAAAGGCTGCATTTATTTGATCAATAATACAGTGAAAACAGTAATACTGTGAAATTACAATTTAAAATAACTGTTTTCTATCTGAATATATTTAAAAATATAATTTATTTCTGTGATCAAAGCTGAATTTTCAGCATCATTACTCCAGTCTTCAGTGTCACATGATCCTTCAGAAATCATTCTAATATGCTGATTTGCTGCTCAAGACATATTTCTGAATATTATCAATGTTAAAAACAGTTGTGCTTTTTGTTGTGTAATTGGTCACATTATAAATGTCTTTACCGTCACTTTTGATCAATTGAAATGCGTCCTTACTGAATGAAAGCATTAATTTATGAATTTTTGAACAGTAGTGTATCTGCTGAAAGTTTATTTTGTCAGATTTTAGAAGTACGCTAGCAGATGAGCTCAAAGCTAACTAAAACTGTATAAAAGATATTGTCAGCTTGTCCGTTGTTGTTAGTTTCTGATAACTTGATGAACTAAAGTTTCAAAATAGAGGATTTTTATGTACTGCTTTAAATCGCCCAGAGCAAAAAAGTATCAGAACCAGTTTGATTTTTTTTTTTCATTTTTCTTATGTTGTTCTCCAGGCTGTTCAACAAGGAGCTTTTGGATCAGTACATGTTCTCTCTCCTCCACCCATCCAACCTGCCCCCAGAGTCCAGCCCATGGCCAGCAGCTGCCCCGGGGAGAGACGACACAATCTCGGATTGACAGAGCTGAATCTCTGATTGAAATCACTTACAGCCCAGCCATCCAGTCTAAACAAGCACTGGAGATCTTCACATTTCCCAAAAGACAAATGTGCTTTTCATTTTCATATTTACAATTCTCCAGTATATAGTTTTTCGCCTATGCACAGTAACATATCAATAAAGATATGTCCAACTGAAGCACACTACTACTGGTCGAGTTTCAGAAAACCTTTTCAGAAAAAAAGAGGCATATTTTCCCTTAAAAATGAAAAATGAAGCCTGGTATTTTTTTTCTTTTGCATTGTTAAATTTTTTTCATGACAATTACACCTAAACCCTTATTACTGTAATGCTAAAATATGTTGTCAGCGTCAATATTGTAATGTGAAAATCAAGTATCAAAATTAAAAAATGTCATGGAAGTATTTAGTCAATTTTATATTGCATTTAAACTTAATTATAATTATGCTGATAAATATGAATTCATTATTAAATTTAACAATTGAATAATTAATTGTATTAGAATAATGAGAATAATATATTAATAATATTTTGATTGAATTGTCACAATGCAACACTTATTTTTCTAAACAAATAGCTAATCAGGAAGTTTTTGTGATATTCACTCTTTAATTCACTTGGATGATGAGACGGCAGTCATTTTGCACCAGAACATCCATCACACACCAGCTTATTGGTGGAGAGGAGACAGAGTGATGAAGCCAATCAGTAGATATGGGGATGATTAGGAGGCCATGATGATTTTTTTGACAGTATAGTGTCCCCATCACTATACTGGGGCATTAGGACCCACACAGACCACAGGGGGTGAGCACCCCCTGCCGGCCTCACTAGTACCTCTTCCAGCAGCAACCTAGTTTTTCCCGGAGGTCTCCCATCCAGATACTGACCAAGCTCAGCCCTACTTAGCTTCAGTGGACTCGTTAGTCTTGGGCTACAGGGTGATATGGCTGCTGACTTTTCCTGATGATATCTCCTAAAGGTAACATGTAAAGCATGAAAAGCAGTGGTCCTAGTACTGAGCCTTGTGGTACTCCATACTGTACTAAGATCCAGTAGCGCTAATAGAAAAATACAACTACGATCAGATGATAAGAGCAGGTCATTTGTAACTTTAATGAGAGCAGCCTCAGTACTATGATACGGTCTAAATCCTGACTGGAAATCCTCACAGATACCATTTTTCTCTAAGAAGGAACATAGTTGTGAGGATACTTCCTTTTTTTAGTTTCTTTGACAGAAAAGGGAGATTTGAGATCGGTCCGTAATTAACCAATTCTCTAGGATCAAATGTAGTTTCTCCATTGTTATGATGGCCCTGGTTGACCAGGTATTACTTTATTGCCATAACTGATGTTGGTGGCCATTGTTCCAGCAGTGATGGGGCATCTATGCTCAAAGTAAGCAATAAACATTACACCATAGCAAACTCTTGATCAAATCACTGCCCGGATCCTCAAAGCCAGTCAGGATTATTTATCTTCAAATATATTTACTTATAGATTGCACTTTCTAGATCACTCTTTAATAAAAACAATTTTGTGTTGTGTAGATCAATTAACTAGCAGATGTCCTCGGCATGCTGAGTTTCGAGTGCTTCAGTGAACAGTGAATCATTTAGCAAACAATAAATTTAGTGAAGCAAATGGTTCAGTTGGTTCAAAAGACTCACTTCTCCCAACCACACTGGCAATGAAATATAAAATTATTGTTAATTCACAATAACGAAACAGTAAATGAAGTATAAGTTAATTGTGTGCCATAATCCCCAGGAACGTTCAGCATAACATGGAAAGTTACTGATAGAACAAGCAACGCCCTAAGATGAACTTCCTGTAAAAGAACTACACTTGCTTGATCATGATGTAAGTCATCTAGACTTTTTGAAAAAAAAAAAAAAAGGCTCTAGCACCTTCCCCCATCTCTACAGAGGATACAAGATTGGTTTGTCCTGTTCTCACAGCCAGGATATAATTACAGAGTCCTAATCAAGCCTTTAAACAGTTCCCTTCAGCATGGCCACATTCACATACGTAAACAAGTTCCATTGTATAGCAAACAGTTTATTGTTGTACTACCACATAATCATATTAATATGTGGATGTGCCTGTCATCTGACATCTGAACTACACGATAAATGCACATTCAGTACAATGAAGCACACTTATTTTTCAAAGGTATGTGTAACTCATGTTGCAATTTCTATATGCTTAAACAAAACAGTACATTTGTTTGAAATTAACATTTGTCCCAAACATAATAAAGCTCACTTTATGTTTATTTATGACAAATTTTACATTTAAATTTGTAAACGCATAAACAAAAAATGAACAAATAACAAAAGCAGCATGTTAAATAACACTCAGGCTTTGCACAGTGTGCATATTAATTTGCCATCTAATTACTTATTTAAGCATGAAGACAGCAGCACTTAAAGAAGCTAATTAGATGTGAGGACAGATGGGAGGAGTACGATCACACCAAAGGAAACCTGAAGTCACGGAAGGAAGGAGAAACCATAGAAGTGTTGCATTATTGAAAAACAATGCTGAAGATAAAGGTTCAGAGCGAGTGAGAAGACGACAAAGCAGGTCAGAGAGGAGCAGAATGGACACTCAAAATCAGGTGAGGGTCCTTTACAGATACACCTGATCAGATAAATGTCACAGTTTTAGAAATCCATTTGTGTACATTTCATTCAACTGGGTGCTTTATACCTGCTTATGTATGTATTCTACTCAAGAATAAATAGTAATGTTCAGGTCTCCAAAAAGATCAAATAATTCCACAATGATTTTACTGATGTTATTTCATGAAGCAAACACTGAAATCACACCTGTCAATCAGAGATTATCAAACATTACAATCCTCCAGATAGGTAATAAGTTGTGAATGCGCACATGAGAGGAGGACGTGGTAAATAACCTGCAGTCAGGTGGAGTTACGCTGGTGTCAGTTTCCCTCATGACAGGCTTCAGTACGTTTAACATTGTTTACAGACTAAATCCACTCGTGCTTTCCTTTTTCAAAGCATTTTATAATTGCAGCAATAATACTCATACTTGAGACAATATGCATTTAAATCAATGCTACATCTCATTTTCATTTTGTTTGTTAGAGCATTTTAGACAAGAACATGGAAACAGATTTCGTGACAGATGAGCAGATGGAACGAACAGAACAGAGGTATGCAAAGTGGTGAGCATTTATTTTAACTGAAATACATTTTTCTTTGGTCACGTTTTCCAGGACTGTTGACAGGCTGTTTTGGCTTTAATGTTTCTAGTTGTTACCATAAAAGATTTATACTGAATATGAATGGGGACCATTTGTGGAGGATTTTAAAGTAGAAATGTGAAGCTCTCCTGTTAACAGGAAAAGCATTTCTGTAAATTTTTCAGTTAAAAGTTCAAATTAAATTTTTCTTTTTTTTCCTTGGAGCTTTAAAGCTTTAGTTTTACACTCTAAAAAAATGCTGTTTTGTTTCAAATGTGGACTAACCCAACTTTTGGGTTAAAAATTGAATGTAAAAATGTAAACCAACAGCTGGGTTAGTCCATATTTGACCCAAAGTTAGGTTGAAACAACCCAGCATTTTTTAGAGTGTAGCTGTTATGTTGTCATGGCAACAGAATAGTTACCTTACTTTACTTTACTTTACTTTTAGTCATTTAGCAGACGCTTTTATCCAAAGCGACTTACAAATAAGAAAAAGTAATTACAACTAAAAGCTAAAACTCTATAAATACTATATATATATACACATTTAAGAAAATAAAAGAAAAGACTATTTCTTTACACTGTTTTGCTGGCGCTTGAACACACTTTCCTGTTTATCCCAACAAATGGCCAAGCAAAGCGCACGACACTGACAAGGTACGCCATACAGTACGAGACCAAACCTGTAAAAAAAAACAAAAAAAAAGTACACTCAAATCATGTTACCATGCGTATTGTTTGTCACTTGTATTGTACAATATTTCCAGTATTCCAGTATTACTACTTAAGCCCAAATATTTATTTATATTTTTGTATTATTATAATATTTTTTTTACTTGACTTTGTCATGACATAGTTTGAATGATGTCTGGATTTGTGCTATACAGATACTGTAGATCAGGGATGGGCAACATTGATAGTGACGAGGGCCAGAATGTTTTCTCATTTATACCAAGGGGCCAGATTACTAATCCACGTCTACACACCTTTTACATCGTCTTACTCAATTTCCTTTTTACTGAAAGAAATCAAAGTTTAATTAATGTAATTTGTTTTTAAAGATATTATTATCTATAAAACTTCATTCATAAAAATTCAAAAGGGAAACTTTGTTGTCAGTTGACAGCAATATTACCCCAACAAGCCAATGTAAACATTTCAATTGCATGTAAATTTGCAACAAACAAATGTACAGAGGTCTTACTTTTTATTAGTGGCCTTCAGAACATTCTCAAAATAACCTAAGAGGACAGTAAAAAAGGGCTTATTAA